CCAGCTTTTTATCACCAGGGATTATCTCAGGACCATGCCCATTCCATCCACACAGCCACTCACTGTGCCAGGGCGTCCTTCGTTGGTGGGGAGGGATGCCTTCCTGGGTGCCTGGGTGGGGGGGTGGGGGTGCTCAGAGACAAATGAGACACAGCCCGTGTTTCGGGTAAACGAGCAAGGGGAGAAACCATGTCACCTCTAAAACTATCTTGGAGAGGTCCAAAGGGTCTCTTGTACCAGCCACATAAAATGAGTGATGATTGTGTTTAATAAACATATGAGGAAGATTTTAGTCTCTAAAAGTTATGAACATGTAAAAGCACGTGAGCAAATCCTTCTTGTCCAGATTCCCCAGGATTTGCCCCAAAGAAGCGTACCTCTGTCACCGTGAAGAAAGTGTGGCCGTGGGACCTGGGCCTTCCTTGCTCTGTTGCGGTCCAGTTTGGGACCCTATATCTTTTTTTCTTCAATTGGCTTGTCAGACAGTGCCTCCATCTTAAGTATACAATTCAATCATTCTTTAGTAAATTTACACAGTTGTATAACTCTAACAATCCAATTTTAGAATATTTCCATCCCCCAAAACAATTTCATCATTCCCATTTATAATCGCCCACTGTTCTTACGCCCAGACCCAGGCTGATCTGCTTTTGTGTCTGCAGATTTGCCCATTCTGCATATTTCATGTGAATGGAATCATTCTATATTATGCAGTCTTTCGTGACAGGCTTCTAACACTTAGCACGTTTGTGAGGGTCACCCACATCGTAGCAAGTGTCGGTTATGGCTGAGTCATATTCCATCGTACATATTCATTCACCACGTTCTGTTTATCCACTCACCAGTTGGTGGACACTTGGGTTTCCAGCTCGGGGCTTTTACGGTTAACACTGCTGTGAACGTGTGCACACAAGTCTTGGTGTGAATGGATGTTTTCATTCTTCCCGTGTGGAGACCTGGGGGTGGAGTTGCTGTGGAGGGCAGCCAAGTTTAGATCTGGGAGGAACTGCCCTACTTTTCCAGAATGGCTGCAGTATTTCCTATCCCCAGCGGCCGTGTCTGAGGGCTCCCATTTCTCCACAGCCTCACCAACACTTGTTACCATCTTAGATGTCCTAGGCGGTGTTCCTTTATCCATTTAAGTGATGCTGGCGCCTGGTGGAGACCAGAGAAGGGCAGCAAAGAATTAAAGATGTGGACGCTAGAGCTCCGGAGAACAGATTGTAGCAATAAGAGCAGAAATGAGAGACCAGAATTCCCTCCTGGGGAGATTTCCCCGGGCGTCTCTCAGAAGACCCATTCCAGGGAGTAGGTTACAGTGCACACATGGGAAGCTGGGCGAGGAGCCCTGGGGAAGCCCTGCTGGGCCTTCCTGGGCCGTGTTGGTGGGCACAGAGGGAACGGGCATTGCCTCCTTTGGACGGTTTAGTCCTGCCTCTCGGGCTGAGGGCAGCGCCTGGTCCTCAGCAGAGCCACCCGGGCACATGGGGGCAACCATCCACCAGCCCCACCACCCACCATTGTTCCCCCACCTCGCCCAACCCCAGGGAGACAGGCTGGAAACCAGCCCTTCCTCCAGAGAACACTGGGGGTGAGCAGACACCCCCCCATCCCGCCCAGTCCCCAGCCCCCCTCCCCCATCCCCCAGCAGCAGCCACATTCCTTGCCGAGACCTTGAGACCCCAAGGGGCCCCCATAGGCGTCTGGAGCACCATTTCCTGGTCCTCTGTGCTCAGTCATCTATTTTTCCAAATCCCAGTCCCGGCTTGTTTACTTCTCTGGTCCTTTAAATAGCCACACTTTTGAGAGCGCGTGCCAGCCTTGAATGTCATTCGGGGCCGGACTGCACCGAGCCTCGGGCCTCATCATCGTGTTATTCTTCGTGCTGCTTCCGCTCTGCTCGGCACACTCTGTTCTTGGGAGCCGAGCCAGCCCAGGGCCAGTCTTTCCCACTGGAAATGCCACGAGTCCTGCGGGCTGGGTTGAGGAGCCACCCGGCAGCACTGTGGCCCAGGTCTGCGCTCTGGAGGCCAGCTCGTGCCACAGCCTCTGGGGCCAGGTGACAATGGGGCTGGACATCAATGGCACTGAACCCCCTCCCCTGGGCTGGCTGTGCCCCGGGGGGGCCGCGGGGTGTCTGCTTTGAATCCAGTCAGGACAGTGCATGCTATTACTGGTGTCACCGGCTGGGGTGATACAGGCTCGGGGGTGGGGGGGGTGTCCCTAGAGCATGTCCAGCCAATGAGGCAGGCTGGCCAGGCAGACACGTGTTACTCAGTGTTTCCAAATGAGCCCACAGGAAACCAGCCACTTAAGAAGGAAGCTTGGCTTTTCTGGGCTTTAGAGAAAACTGACTCGTTGGAGTTCCCGTAACCGATAGGCTGCTGGTGGGGGACGGGGCTGTATTTTCCAAACACACACAAAAAAGGAGAATCCAGGGGCGAACGGAAACTTTGACCTTGGCGAGCCAGGCTGCAGGGGTGGGGCTTCCCGAGAAGCGTGGTCAAAAGGCAGTAGAGGCCGGGAGCTTGTCACTCTCCTGTCCATCTGCGCGCCTGTCCACACACGCTCCTATCTAGCCACATTGGCCTCTCAGAAGAGCAGGGCCAAGGATGCGAGAGACGCCGTTTGCCCCCGCCGCCATGCAGGGCCTCCTACGGTACTTCCATCCCAGCCGGGCGGGCTGGAGCCGGCTGGCCTTGGCCGAAAAACACTTGTGTGCTCGGGGTACCGCCCTGTGGACCCACATCCGAAACCTCGTGTGCAAGGGCAAGGTGGGCAGACGGGTATGCCACGGTTTCCCGGGTGGGCCACGTTGGGGCAGGGTCCCCTGGATGTGCTGCTCCATCGCTCTGCTTATCGGCTGCATTGAGAGAGGGGGGCCCAGTGATTACCATTCCTGGGAGGGAAAGTGAAGGGGGTCTCCTGCTGAAGCTGCTTCTGTGTCTCCCTTTAAAGAAAACTCCCAGTGGCAAGGAAGCTCTCCCTTTCCTTAGGAGCAGGAGGAACGGTGTCTGTCCCCTTCCTTCCTAGACAGCCAGGACACAGGAGTTGGGGATGATAGGCTGGCAGTGCACCCCCCCTTACCTCTTCCCACCACAGCTGGTCTGGTTGAGAGTGTGGGGCCCCGGCATCATCCTGCTCCTGCCACCCCTGGAAGAGGCTGTTCCCCTAGCTGGATGCCTGGGACTCGCTCTCGCAGGGAAGCACCAGTTGGGAGGTTTCCTTTTCTGAGTGGTTTGTGACTGCCTGGTCCCTGCTCACAGGCCCTGCCCCTCAGGGTGGGGTCCCTGTGGCCCAGGAGTCTGGCCCCTAAGAACCTCCTGGGACAGATGAGGAATGAGAACCTGGGACCGTACAGCCTCAGGAGGGAGATGCTCTCCCACCCTTTGTTTTTCTTTTTCTTTTTTTTTTTTTATTTGACAGAGAGAGAGACAGCGAGAGGGAACACAAGCAGGGGGAGTGGGAGAGGGAGAAGTAGGCTTCCCGCCGAGCAGGGAGCCCGATGCAGGGCTCGATCCCAGGACCCTGGGATCATGACCTGAGCCGAAGGAAGACGCTTGATGACTGAGCCACCCAGGCGCCCCCACCCTTTGTTTTTCTGTGTTGTTCTGTCTGTACATTTCAAATCTTTGGGGATGTTAGTAGGCCCTTGAAGGGGAAGTGATGTCCCCCCTGCTCCCCCCCCCCCGTCCCCACCGGGAGTGCCTCTGCTGAGCCTCCATGCCAAGCAGTGTAGGGAGAGAGGCTCAGGCTGCACACACCTGAAGGGTAGCGGCTGCTGGGCCTTCTTTCCTCTCCTGCACAAGGCCCATGTGGCTCTCAGCTCTTGGGTCTCTTGCAGTGAATAGCCATGGGACACCTGTCCTGAGCACCCCTCTACACCTGGAGCTGTGCTCAGTACCGTTGTGTGTGTGTGTGTGTGTGCATGTGCACGCACATGCACAAGTTTGTGTGTGCAGAAATTGAGAGGCGCAGACCCCCCTCAAGTGGTTTGTCTAGTCGCAGACATGAACCATCGCCCTAAGCAAGTGATGAAATCTGCAAGGCCCTGCATGAGGAGCGCCAGGTTATATGGTGTCAGACGGTGGTTCCCTAACCTGGCTTTATATGAGAATCCCGTGGGTAGGTTTCTAGTTAGGTGAATCCGAGATTCCCCCCCCCCCCCCCCGAGCTGCTGGTGCAACTCTGGGGTAGAACCCTGGGAGCTGTTTTTAAACAAGATCTTCCCAGGTGCTCATTTGTCCAGCCCGACCACTGGTGTGGAATGTGTGCTCCCCAAAACAGAGGGAGATGGAGCCCTCATAGATGGGGGCCCTTGGCCTGACCACGAAGGTCTGAGGACTGTTAAGCAGCATGGTCCCGCGGGCCAGCGCTCAGACAATGCTCAGTGGGGTGAAAGCCAGAGGGGCTGCAGAGGGCCCTCCAGCCCCCGTCACTCGCTGTGTGATTTGGAGCTGGGCTCTGGGTCCTTCTGGGCCTGACTCTGAAACATAGGACTGGCCTGGACTGGAGACCCCTCCTGCATGGGCTCCTACAGCTAAACCACGTAGCACGCTCAGGGGGAAAACTGTCCCAAACTCTTCATTGGCACACCCTCTGAAAGTTGCTACTGAAGTTGGGTTTCCCAAAATATGTAAGCCGACTGCTCAGCCTCCCTGCGCTGCACATAGTGCCTGAGATGGTTGGTGAGGGGGAGCAAGATGGCCACCAGCATGGACTTGAAGTCCCAGCAGGAAGGGACAGAGGGAGGAACGGGGCCCCGAGCCATGAGCCTGGGACCCGTGAAGCACAGATCTGGGAGTAGGAGGGCTCTCAGTTCCAGGGGTTTTCTAGCAAGTTCTCTTTCAGGACCCTTCTTGGCCTCTAGATAAAAGTGCCGGCAGAGGTCCAGCTCTAATTCTGACTTAGGTGTGGAGAAGTCACAGGCTTGGGCTGCTGCCTGGCAGGGTCTCTGTGCAGACCCCAGGCACCTGCTGATCATAACTGCTTGCTTTCAGCTGGACCCCCAGGCCCTGCAGGACAGAGACTGGCAGCGGACCGTGATCACCATGAATGGGGTATGTTGGTGCCTACTTTTCTCACAAGATTAGGGTGGCCCCAATTCCTTCCAAAGCAATCAGAAGGAGGCTAAGCCTGAGCCAGTGTCTGAGGTGGGGTGTGGCTGAAGGAGGGAGAAGCGCTGCAAAGCCGGGTCACTGCGGGCAGGAAAGAATCCCATTTGGTGGCTGGAGTGCAGTCCCCGGCCAGGCGCTGACCATCCCTCCTTGAACAAGACAGGCAAGACCTTGACCCTGGTGTCTGCCCGTAGAAACGGAGACCCTGATTCGTTTTCAGGGTCCCAGAAGGATTTAGACCTTTAAAAGAGAAACAAACAACCAAAACTATTACCAGAAAAGGTCTGGGCATAGGTGACAAAATGTTAACATTTGATAGATAATCCATGGCTTTTTGTTATGTTATTTTCTGTACTTTTCCTCTTGTTAACTATTAAGAAAGAGAAGCAGTGGGGATTAGGGTTGGGGGCAGTGTCCTGCAAGAGCTAATCTTTAAATCACACTGACCGTTCCTGGTTCTTGCTGAGTTGGGCCAGGGACCTGCTCTGCACTGGGGTCTTAACCCAGTTGCTCAGGGAGGGGAGTGATTTGCCAAGCCCCCCGGGCCTCTGGGAACTTGGACTATGAGTCCCAGAAGGGTGAGAGGGCCGTGCCCCTGCCTCCCCCTGCAGATTGAAGTGAAACTCTCAGTCAAGTTCACCAGCAGGGAGTTCAGCTTGAAGAGAATGCCTTCCCGAAAACAGACGGGTGTCTTTGGAGTCAAGATTGCCGTGGTCACCAAGTGAGTGGACTCATGCGTCTCTCATCTCCGGGCACAGTGGGCACCCCCTCTCCCCCAGGTGTTTCTGAAGGAAAGAACAGGTGAGGGTCTCCCCTGTCTGTGCATGGTCCTCTGTGTACGAGGCCCCCTCCCAGGCCCCTGGAGCGCTCTGTGTGCTTGGTTGCCTCTCGTGTTTACTGCGAAACTTGCCCCCGTCAGCTTAGGAATGTCCTTGCCCCCTTCCTGTGCGGGCGGGCTGGCGGGCTGGCTCCCACACGATTGGAACTGCTGAAGGTCAGGGTTTTCTTCCCTCACTCAGAATCTGTCCCGATTGGGGTTCCTGTGGAATGATGCCACCCCAGCCCCTTGGTCAGGTCAGTTGCCAGGAGAAGTCTGTATGTTGGTTTGAGAGCAGTTCGCAGGAATGGCGCAGGCCGCTTCCTTCCAGAATCCATTTACTTCCTCCATTTCGAATCTGGCTGGGCCCCTGACCTCACTGGTTGTCCAGGCGAGGGCCCACATCAGATGTTCCCCAGACACCTAATTGTGTCCAAACACCACGCTCCGCCCCCAGCTGCACCCCAGCTGTGCCCACAGTTCTCTGGATGGGTCTGGGCCCGAGCAGAGAGGACTGTGTCAGCGGTTATCCCACATAAGTGTTGCTGATGGGGGTGACTTGGGAGAGCGCTTTGCTGGGCTCCTGAATCCAGTTGCTCAACTAGGCTAGAGCAAACCCTCCAAACAGCATGTCTCCTGTTTTTGAAGTATTCCTACCCTAGGGTCCTGTGTGGAGGTACTGGAATTATTCATTGTTAAGACAGCGAAAAGTGTTAAGTTATTTATGTATGTATGTATGTATGTATGTATGTATTTGACAGAGACACAGTGAGAGAGGGAACACAAGCAGGGGGAGCGGGAGAGGGAGAAGCAGGCTTCCCGCAGAGCAGGGAGCCCAATGTGGGGCTCGATCCCAAGACCCTGGGATCATGACCTGAGCCGAAGGCAGATGCTTAACGACTGAGCCACCCATGCGCCCCAAATAAAATCTTTAAAAAGGAAGAAAAGGGCCCTAATAAGATGTAAGCAGTGGTAATCGTGAGCTCTCACGACAGAGGAAAAGGGTGCGGATGGGTCCACGGGAGCCCGACCCCTGGGGCCTTCATCACCCCCACCTCCGGGTGTCCGGATGTGCGGACAGGTGGTGGGTCCAGCCCCACTGCGGCCTGAGCCAGGGCTGCCGGGCACTGAAGGCATTGCCTCTCCCCTGCAGGAGGGAGAGATCCAAGGTGCCCTACATTGTGCGCCAGTGTGTGGAGGAGATCGAGCGCCGGGGCATGGAGGAAGTGGGCATCTACCGCGTGTCTGGAGTGGCCACAGACATCCAGGCATTGAAGGCGGCCTTTGACGTCAGTGAGTGTCGGCCCGGGCAGCGCGGGCTGGGGGCGTGGGTGTGGTGACCGTGTGCCTCCCATGGCTTGTGCTGGCTATATTAGGCTCTGTACCTTTCCTTCACTTGTTTTATTTTTTAAATGAAAAGAAGAGGGAGCGGTGGGACGTGCTGGCTATATTAGGCTCCGTACCTTTCCTTCACTTGTTTTATTTTTTAAATGAAAAGAAGAGGGAGCGGTGGGAGGAGGTTCTGCAGAAGCTCGTTCTCCTGTCTGAACCATGTGTGCATGGCTCCCGCAGAGTTGGACCAGGGGCTTCTGTGGGGCCGCCCCACCTCGCAGTGGGGTTTGGCCTGCTTCCCCCGGGTGGAAGACCAAAGCCCAGGAGCCAGGGTGGTCTGACTCTTAGAAGTTGGTGGACCTGCCTCAGTCCCCAGAGGAGGACACGGAGGCCCCAGAGGCTTCTCGGAGCGGAAGGTGGCAGAACCAGGACTTGGTGCCTGCATCCTCTTCCCTCCCTGGCCTGTGACAGCGAGGGCCAGTGGCCATGAGGCCAGAGGCACTGGTTTGAAACTCTAGAATGGAACAGATAATCCCAATATCTTAATGTTACCAGAAGATGCCTGCAGCCAGGTGGTCGCTACAGAGCAGAGCCTCCCAGTCCCTGCCTGGGCACGGTGTCTGGCCGCCGCCGGCCTCAGTCCCTTGTGGTGGCACTGCCGCCAGGCCACCCCTTGCCCGGCAAGGGAGCGGTGGGGAGGACGCCTCCCCTGTCCGAACCACCGGCATGCTTGGAAGAAGACCAGCTGCTGGAAGGAGGGACCCCAAAAGCCATCTGCCTGCTGTGGGCTGTGCCAGGCTGAGGCAGGGAGAGCGGGGCCCTATTTGGGATCCGTGAGTAGGCCGTGCTCCATCTCCGCACTCCTTCCAGATAACAAGGACGTGTCGGTGATGATGAGCGAGATGGATGTGAACGCCATTGCCGGAACGCTGAAGCTGTACTTCCGCGAGCTGCCGGAGCCCCTCTTCACTGACGAGTTCTACCCCAACTTCGCCGAGGGCATCGGTGAGCATGGGAGGTCTCCCCCTCCACCACGGTCCGTGTTTCCACCCAAACTTTGCCGGTGGCGGGGGACCGAGAACCTCGCTGGTCCTAGAAGGCCTCTGCCCATCCCACAGGGCCTCCCATTGTCCCCATCCCTCCAAGTATCCCAAGAGGGTAAAGCAGCCTCTGTGCACGCACCGGGGTGTGGGGTCCTAGAGGCTCCTTCCTCCTCACTGGAGTGCCCGCCCTGCTCCTCTCACCCGGGTACACGGGGTGATGAGGGAGCTGCCAGGGCCCCGAAAACTCCCGCCCCTCCCTCTTTATGTTCCCTTCCATGCTCGGCTTCTCGTGCCTTGGGCTCTTCCAAGCAGGAGGTGGGAATGGCCAAACCGGCCAGGAGGGCAGCTCTCCTGCCCCTGGTCCCTGCGGTGCCATTCAGCCCTTTGAGATGCAGAAGAGGCACCCATCCTGGGGTCACACTGGGGGCCATGCTTGTGGGTCAGGACAGTGATGGGCCTGGACTGCCCAGTGCCCTCTGACATGGGCCCCAGGAGGGGCCTCCAGCTTGGCTGTGACCCTGAGAATAACACCCCTCCTAATCCCCCGCAGCTCTGTCAGACCCTGTTGCAAAGGAGAGCTGCATGCTCAACTTGCTGCTGTCACTTCCAGAGGCCAACCTGCTGACCTTCCTCTTCCTTCTGGACCATCTGAAAAGGTAACCCCAGCTCTTCCTCAGGGGCCCAGGGTTCCAGGACCCCCAGGCCGCAAGGCGGGTTCTCTTGTGGCCCACTGGCTCCTGTCACACTGCATGGCTCCTGGCGCCCTCTTTCCCCACTCCTTGTCTGTGGTTACTCTTCTGCCCTGGGTCCTAGAGACCTTGCCACCCTCCCCGCTCTGTTCCACAGACTTAAGAGCAGAGATGCTTCCGCTACAGCCAGTGGCTGGGCTTTCTCTCCCCAGCAGGTCATGGCCCAGAGCTGGCCCAGCCACCTGCCAGTGTCAGGTGCTCTTTGTCCTAGGCCTCTGCAACCCAGACGAAGCGGGGTGGGCCTGCTTTCGGCACAACCGGGGGTGGGGTGTCTGTGTTCGGAGCCAGCTCAAGGCAGAAAGGGGTGGCGCCCACTGTCATGTTCCCCAAGCGCTACAGGGTGGTCTGGCCCCTTTGTCTCACCCCCACCCTGAAGGCCATGTCGCAGTAGCACCCTCTGCTTTGGCCCTCTGCAGGGTGGCAGAAAAGGAGACCGTGAATAAGATGTCCCTGCACAACCTTGCCACAGTCTTCGGCCCCACGCTGCTCCGGCCATCGGAGAAGGAGAGCAAGCTCCCTGCCAACCCCAGCCAGCCCATCTCCATGACCGACAGCTGGTCCCTGGAAGTCATGTCCCAGGTATGAGGAGACAGGCTCCAGCTCACGCCGCCTGACCTCACAGAGGTGGCCTCTGCCTGGCCCACGCAGGGTCCTGCCAGTCGTTCCCACCCGAGTTGTGCAGGGGAGGGGGCGAGGTGCAGAGAAAGGGACTTGCCTGAGGCCATGTGGCTGGGAGGGGATGGGAGGACCCAGGCCACTGCTCTTCCTGGGGCTTCTCAGGGCTGACCTGGTGTTCCTTCAGGGACGCTCAGATCTCTTGCCAGAAGGGGCTCATTGTCACCAGCATACTCTGCAGCTGTGAGCACCCCTCTGAGCCCCTTTCCTCTTTCCTCCTCCCTACTGTGCCCTGGCAGGTCCAGGTGCTGCTGTACTTCCTGCAGCTGGAGGCCATCCCTGCCCCTGACAGCAAGAGACAGAGCATCCTATTCTCCACTGAAGTCTAAAGGCCCAATTCCATCTCCGAGAGGCCGGCAGAACAGCCTGGAAATCTCCTGGCAAAACGGGCTACCCACAGAGCGGGAACCGAATCTTCTTGAGGAGTAATTGGGCCACCTCGCCCCCAAGGGCTGGACCACCTGCCTAGAGACAGCTACCCAAGGCAACAACAGGCTAAGTGGCCTGGGCAGTTCTGGGCCTCTGGGTCCTTGGGTCTGTGAGCTCCCGCCGGGCCTCAGACTGCGGTTTTCCATGCTGCCACCAGAGGGCGCCCCAAGCCAGCATGTCTCGGCGCGCAGGCCTGGCCGTGGGACCAGGCGAAGGGAGTGGTTTCTGCGAACTTATCAGAGTTTAAAAGATTTCTACTGGATCACCCGTCAAGATGCACCCTCTCCGGGGAGAAGGGAACACGACCAGATTCCCTCACTATCGTGTCTTGAATAAACACCGATGCTGCTTCATACCGTGCGGGCCACAGCCCTGTCCCTGGGGGGGGGGGGGGGCCTTTTCAGTTTCCCTGACTTAGAAATTCGGCTCTGTTTGTGTAACAGGGTTTGGAAGAGCTGAGTCAACACTGTGTAGCGTTTGACCTCTTTCACCTCCTTCCTTCTCTTTCTTTCTAGAAGGAACTCTGTCCAGAAATGGGTCTTCCTATTCTGTCCTCTTGCTTTGGTTTTGCTGTTCATGTGCCCCTCGGAAGGCAGCTCCCCATGGAGTCATGTAACGTCTGTCTGTCTGTCCAGGACTGACACCAGGGGGAGGGAGGCCCAGGCTGCGCACTTTATGGCTTCTTCTCCAGGGATAGCGACCCTGTCCACTGCCTGCTGGGCACAGGCTCTCCTCTTCGGCTTAAAAAGGCCTCAATCTCTCTGGCTTCCTCCAGCCTGTTGCCCCCTCTGCCCACACTCTCCCTTCCCCCGATCGTCCCCCCACACAGATCACTTCATTCTCTCGCTCTCTGCTGAACAAACTCAGTAAACTTTTGTAAAAGTTTCCTCTTGGCAGCGACAGCTTGCTGACAGCTTGTTTTAAACTTTGATCCGAATAGCCTTTTGATACTTGAATATTTTTAAGTTTTCTACATAGTTTCTAATTTTTTTCCTAACAGATTCAGATACCTAATACGATATTAGAATGTACTCCACAGACGGTCCGTGTCCCAGCGGCATTTTGTCTTCCTCCACACGCCGGCTCCGTTTCTGTCAGGAGCCGGTTCTAAAGTCTCCTGAGCATCAGGAATGGGGGAGGGTTAGGAGCAGGGGGGGGCTGTTCTACTGGCCAGGCTCAGGGTGCGGGGCTCCTGTCCTGGAGCAGGCAGAAGGACAGACGCGCGCACACACACACCCCCCCGCCCACCCTTCCTGCTCTCTCCAAATTCCAGTAGAGAAGCCGGGACATTCCTAGTAACCCTCCTGACCACCCAGCTTAAAGAGAACGAGGGAGGCCGCTAAGTATTTTGAAGAAACAAATCTATGAAAAATTGCTTTTTTTTTTTTTTTAAGAGAGGGTTTAGGTCAAGGAGAAAAGGAACCACAAGAAGCCAAGTTTCCATGCTGGTCTTGCAAGAAGAGAGGATGTAGTGAACCAGAGGAGGGAGGTGATGGTGTGACTCAGGAAAAGGTGTTTGCTTGTCACGTGATTACACCAGTACCTGGTGGCAGTGTCCCATGATCCTTCCCATGTCCTGGGTGGCAGGGGTGGGGGTGGGAGGGCTCTCTGACAAAGCAGCTCCCGCCTGAACTTGCAGCACATGGCGGGGGGCTGGGGGGGGACGAAATCTGCCCCCCAACCTCCCCTCCGCTTGTGGACCTGCTGAAGCAGGGGGGCGGGGGAACGGCAGAAAACAGTCTCTTGAAGGTTTTATGTCCACATACTATGTTTCTTTGTACTTTTTTCTTTCGAGGAGAGCAGACCTACCATTTTAAAGTAGTCCTGCTTTCCTGGGTGCGGGGGGGTAGGGCAGGGAGCAGGGTCCTGTGCCCTCTGCACATTTCTGGATTCACTGGGTTTCTTTCTCAGGCCTGCTGCCCTGGGCCGCCTCTGGCCTGGCTCCCCATCCCCATCCATCTTAGCAACCCTCCAGCCCTGCAAGGGGAACGCACTTGGCTTAGAAAATCTAAACCCAGCCCTCGTTTCTGTTCCCCTGGTGTCATGATTTGCATCTGTCGCATTGAAACTGGAAAGCAATATATCAATGTCCGTGCCAATTTTCATTCCCTCCCCCGCCTCCTCCCCCTTTTTACTTTTTATTTATGTAGAATGTGTGCTGTTTAATGACGGAATGACCACTCTTTCTCGTGTAGCTGTAAAAGCGCTCTTTTGCCGGGCCACGAGGGCAGCGGTCGCTTCGGGTCCCCGGCCGCCTCTGTGGTCCCATCTCACACATGGGCCTGTGGGCTGGTAAGGCCTAGAGCCCAGACGAGCTTCCACGAGGCTCAGCTGCTGGACTCTGCCATGAGGAGTGATGCCTTCCTGCCCCAGCCCCCGAGTCTGGAGCCGTGAGCTCGGCTGGTCTCAGCAGCTGCAATTCCTGCTTTGGGCTCAGCCTTCCATATACCACGGTGGGGAGAAGGATGCTGAGACTTCCATTAAAGTTACCTGAGACTACTTTTGTCAGTGGTGATTGCTCCATTCAGAGGAGAAACCACGATCGGCGCCTCTGGGAGGGGCTGGGGTGGGCGGCAGAGCTGGAAGAAGCTGCAGGCGACGAAGAGGGCCCGGCTGCCGCCTAGGAGGACAGTGCGGCCCGGCGCGAAGAAGCCAGGCCCCGAGGGGCCTGCACGCCGCAGGCAGACGTGTTCGGACGCACGGCAGCCACCGTCCCGCAGAGCGGGATCCCGGAGCCCTGGGGTTTAGGGCAGTGGGGGCACTGGCCGTGTCAAGCCCAGGGCCAGGGAGGGCTCAGCCACACACAGCCGGGCCGTCGGTCTCCGTGGTTTCTGCGGGCGCCGAGGTCCGGTGGAGCGCGGGTCACTCTTAGCTGCCGCCAGCCTTGCCCTCAGAAAAAGCCTGTCCAGCCTACAGGGAAGTTGTGCCCTGGGGTGGAGACAGGCGTGGGCCATGCGTGCAGCTCGGGAGGAGCTGGGGCTACGGCTCACCTGGTTGGCTGCAGATGGCTGGGGCGGGCGGGGGACGAGGAGGGTCTTCTTGTGGCTCCGGGTTGGCTCCCAGGGGTGGGGGCATCTGCCTGGACTGGTTCTCCCTCCGGCTGGCTTCCAACGCTGCTGCCTGTGGAGCGTCACCGTGACCAGTTCACTGTCCTGGGGAGAGACGGGGGCCCTGAGCCCGGTGCGGCCCTTCACGGGATGCCCTAGGGCTGAGCCTCCACCCTCGCAATCCCCAAAGGCCTCAGAGCCCTTCCCCACAGCACCCCCAGCATCTCCTCGCACGGGTGTAAGGGTTGACCTTGGCTCTTGCCTGCATTGGAGAAGCTTCGCGTACCCATATGCCACTTGTCCACTCTAACATTCGCCAATGAGGAACAGGTGCCCCTGGCCCTCCTCCAGAGTATTTGACCCCTAAAAGGCTACAGTTAGCTCTCTCTATCCCTACAGTCCTGATCCTATTTGAAAGCCATAAAAAATATAGTAATAATAATAATAATGAAAAAAATGTTAAGGCCCTACTGCATCTCTCCTAATAGGATTTGATTTTTAGGGCAAAAGTTGACTGCACCCAAATTCCTAAGAGCAGGCAGTGTCCAGCCAAGCCTAGGCCAGTGATCCCAAATCTGAGATGTTCTACCTCAAAGGGCCCTCAGAGGCCTCCTAGTCTAATGCCTTTACTTGACAGATGGGGAAACTGAGGCACACAAAGCCGCGCCCCACCCCCCCGCCCCTGACCCTGGTGTCCCAGAACTAGTTGATGTGCAGAGGCTAGGATGTCTGGGTTCTGCTGGCCCCCCCAAGCTCGCTCCCTTTCTGCAGGACTGGACAGGGCTAGACCTTGACCACCAGCTTTGGCCTAGACGTAGCAGGGCTCACGTGGGCACACGGGCTGAGGCCTCCAGGTGTCCCACACGCACACACCCTGGGCAAATAAAAGGAGGGCAAAATTTTGTAAAGAAATCTCAGAAAAACTTGTATACCTGCCCCCCAAAAGAATGCCTCAATTGCCTTAAAAAGAAGCCTTTCCGTGGGCTAACGATGGGCTGTCTGTCACAAATAGCTCTGGAAAGATAAACAGAAAACATGAGGGGGTGACAAAGAGACCCAGCTCTTGAAGAGGCCTCCTGGAGCAGCTGCTGTGGGTCCTGCCGAGGGCCCTGCCTGGAGGAGGAGGGCCTGCCAGGCCTGGGGGAGGGGGTGTTAGAACTCAGCCGGAGGCGAGCAGGTTGGGGCAGGTGGGGCAGGTGCAGGCAGAACCCTGTGTGTCTGTCACACCAATACTCACAGCCCAGAAAAGCCAGGGAAGACAGGGCCTGACTGCACCTCTCACCGGGTCGAGATGGGGAAGGAAACCACCTGCTTTGGGGGGACTGAGGCTGCTCATCTGTGCACGCCCGAACGAGATGCACTGAGCACCCTGGGCCAGGCAGCCAGCTGGACTTCACGTGGCCACGCGGCCTGAGAAAGGCCTTCTCGGGGCCTCTTGGACCAGTTCAGCTAGAACGGTGAGGGCTCAGTCCACGCACCGGCTCCTTTTCCATTCCCTTCCTGTAGGGGGAACTGGTCAGCTGACCAGAAACTCTTCCTTAGGGTTTTCAGTCACTGCGTTGAAACCCGAGCCTGGCAGCTGGGGTTGTGTCAGTTCAAATGGGATTCTGGACAAAGAGGGGCCTTGGGAACCGGGCCTAAGTAGCTGCCGACTGAGTAGCCACAGAAGCGGAGGTGCCAGGATGGTGGCCACCCCAGACCCAGGAACTTCCCGGGGGTGAAGGGCTTGAGTGACCACAGACACGTGGACCTCCCAGACCTGTGGCATGGCCCCCCAGGGCCAGCAGGGGAAATCCAGACCCACCCAGAGGGAAGCAGTTGCTGCAGATGCTCATGTAAGTATAGCCACAATTTAAATTACATGATGGGCCGGTGTTGACAGACTCCCCCCCCCCCCCCCCCGCCGGCCCCTTCAGGATTTGCTGTCTCAGCTCTGATCTGTGGTTGCCCCATGCCCCAGTGAGCCCCGGTTCCCTCCCAGCTTCAGGGGGAAATGGGCCAGAAGGAGAGAAAAAGAGGGGAGTAGCTGCTGTTTCTTCTATTTTTCTGAAAACAGTATTGACAAAGTTGGGGAGTGACAATCAGTAGTTATTTGGAACAAGCTAAGGTATCTGGGACCTTTGTTTGTGTTCTCCATTAGGTAAACACTCCTGGGCTGCACTTCCCAGCTGGGGTCCTTTCCCCTGGCGACGGCCAGGAAACAAGGAGCGATGATTTGGGGAGCCCTAACCACTCCAGCAGGCTGGTCTCAGGCCTCCGAGTTTCAGCCCCCACCCCCAGGACCTGCCTCCTGCTGAGGCCGTGGGGGGCCCTCTTCTGCCCAGCTGGTATTACCCACACCCTCCACACCCTCTTCATGGCTGACCTGGAGTTTTCCACTATGCCATGGCCGTTATGAACCAAATTGTGTTCCCCCGCAATTCGTATGTTAAAGCCCTAACCCCCAATGTGAATATATTCTGAGACAGAAGCCTTTAGGGAGGTAATTAAGGTTAAATGGAGTTCTTCATCTGATAGCACTGGTGTCCTTATAAGGAGAGGAAGACACACCAGAGATGGATCCCTCTGTCCCCACACACATGCACACAGAGGAAAGGCCATACAAGGACATGGTAAGAAGGTCCTCGTCCACAAGCCAGGAAGAGAGGCCTCAGGAGAAGCCCCTCCCTCCTGTGGTGTTTTGTCACGCAGCCTAAGCTGACTAGTACAACAGCCTCTGGCCTTTGGCCCTTTGAACTCCTGAATGTGGAACCAAGCTTGGAATCCAAGTCCCCCCATGCTGCTCCATGGGGGTCCAGGGTGACAACCCAGAGGGAAGGGGTTGTCACCCCCTCATCCAGGCCTCATCAGTGACCCTCACAACCCCATTTTGTGGTCTCCTCTTCCCCTTACAGTCGATGCCAATCTCTTCTAATTCAGAGTCACTCTGTGGCTCCAGTGGGTGACCTCACCATAGCCACCGTCCAGATATGGCATGTACGGGGTCATCCCAAGCTGAGGCCCACATGCTTGCCAGTCTCACTGTGAGGGTCCCCAGCAATGGCGATCTTTAGGGGCCCAAAGCCCCAAGCAACCTCTCCCCACCCCCTCAGCTCCTGAGCCTCAAGACCCCCTCCCCCAGAGTTCTGAGTTCCCAACTCAGGGTCAAGGCCTGTGCCTCCTGGGCCAGGTGGGTGGGTGAGAAATTGTAGCACCTGAGAGGTTGGTCAAAGCTGACCCCAAAATGTGGCAGGGGCAGGGAGGCCTCAGGACACTGAGGATTTCCTAAGCCCCAGTGGAGTAAAACCTAACGGGCCAACAAGGCTGGATGGTGGGCAGACTGGCTCACACTGCCAGGAGGCACGTGCTGTGGCCTTTGGCCTCGGTAGTGTGTGGCCTCTGCTTTCAAGGTACTTAGGACTAAGGCCACATGCCTGTCCCAGCTGGACCATGTGGTCCCTAGAGCTGGCTCATGGCCATCATTCTCTCTGAGTCTCCTTGCAAGAGCACTCCCATGTTCAGACAATACCAAGCTTTTGAAGGAGGAAGTGGCTCTTCCATCGTCCCTGTAATGGGTGAATTGTAATCCCCCCTCAAGATATGTCCTCCTGGAACCTTGTAATATGATATTATTGGGTATAAGGGTTATTGCAGATATCATTAAGGTAAGGATCTCAAGATGAGATCCTTGCAGATTAGGGTATGCCCTAAAACCAAGGACAAGTGTCCTTATAAGAGACAGAAGAGGGGCACCTGTATGGCTCAGTCGTTTAGCGTCTGCCTTCGGCTCAGGTCGTGATCCCAGGGTCCTGGGATCGAGCCCTGCATCGGGCTCCCTGCTCAGCGGGAAGCCTGCTTCTCCCTCTCCCATTCCCCCTGCTGTGTTCCCTCTCTTGTTGTGTCTCTCCGTCAAATAAATAAATAAAATCTTTAAAAAAAGAGAGAGAGAGAGAGGGAGAGACAGAAGAGAAGACACGGAGACATGCAGGGGGAACACCATATAAAGGTGAAGGCCGAGATTGGCATGATGCCTCTGTCAGCTGAGGATTGTCGGCAGCCAGAAACCAGGACAGAGGCAGGGAACAGATTCTCCCTCCAAGAATCCAGAAAGAACCGCCCCTGCTAAAACCTGGATTTGGGACTTCAGCCTCTAGAACTGTGAGAGAACCCATTATAATTGTTTAAAGCCCCCCCGCCCCAGCCCCTCGTTAGTGGTCATTTGTCACGGCAGCCTTGAGAAACTAATACAGTCACCCGGCTAGTAAGTCCATCGCTGTGGCCAGATCCTGGCTTTCCAGCTCCCTCTCCTGTTCACCAAGCTCCCAGGGCATTCCTGCTCAGAGCAGACATGGATTGTCCCTCCTCTGTCCTGGTGCCAGAGGCTGAAAGGCTGGGACGGCCGGGGAGGCAGGGGCGGAGGCCTTTGGAGACAAACACAGGGATCATCTCCAAACACCACATACAAGCCAGCCTGGGGGCTTTGGCCCCTGTCCTCCAACCCTTCTCCCACCACCAGTCCTGCCCACAGAAGACCCCAAGGAAGTCGAGAGCACCTTCCTGGCCTGTTCCCTCAGGCAGTTCGACCTGTAGACCCCCTGTGCCCCACCTCTGCAAATGTGCCCCTCCTCTGCCAGAATCCTGTAGATGCTTTTGGGCAACAGGCTTGAGCAATGGGAAACTGAGTAAGGCAAACGGTCCCACGGTGACCCCCGGGGCTGAGTACAAACAGCCTCATGAGGTGACTCATCTCAAAATGGCCACAGGCCCCGATGGACCAATGGGCTACTTACAACCAGGCCCAGGGACCAAAAAAGGGAAAATTCCGCAACATTCCCATGCCTCCTCCCTCCACCCTATAACTACTCCTTTGTTCTGCCTTGGCTGAATTCCTTTACCACCCGTACCCCATTGGGACCCCCCACAAATCCCAACACCGCTGCCCCATAAACACGCTCAGCTCGCTTCTAGCTCCCAGAAAGCTGGGGAGAAGAAACAGCCCTTTCTAGACTTTCTCGACTCTCCACCCCCCTAGTCATACCCACGCCTTCCTTCTCCTTTGTCGTCAAGCTCCCGGGAAGGGGCCACCTGTTCTTGCAATCTTGCCCCTCAGTGCCCACTTCCTTTATGTCCAGGTCAGCCCGGCTCTGGCTGGAAGCCAAAGGCTGTTCACCGCCCTGACCGCCTCTGACATGGCTATCTGTCCCTCCTGACATGGCTATCTGCTCCTCCCTGGCTTCTGTGACAGGCGTGGCCTGCTGACCAGTTTGAAATTAATTCCCCAGGGCCATTTTATGTTTTCTCAAGGGGAGTGTCTTCCTTTCCTCCAGATCTTCCTAGAACTTTTCTGAATTGGCTTCAGGTTTTCCTGCAAAAGCAGTGTGCTTTGGGTTCAAAACAGGATAATTATGTAATGTTATGTCCCTCTTTTTTTTTTTTTTTAATTTATGGGGCACCTGGGTGGTTCAGTCAGTTAAGCGACTGCCTTGGGCTCAGGTCATGATCCCAGAGTCCTAGGATTGGGCTCCCTGCTCAGCCAGGAGTCTGCTTCTCCCTCTGTGCTCTCTGTCTCTCAAGTAAATAAATAAAATCTTAAAAAATTGTTCAAATTTTATTTATTTGGGGCACCTGGGTGGCTCAGTCATTAAGTGTCTGCCTTCGGCTCAGGTGATGATCCCAGGGTCCTGGGATCCAGCCCCGCATCAGGCTCCCTGCTCTGCGGGAAGCCTGCTTCTCCCTCTCCCACTCCCCCTGCTTGTGTTCCCTCTCTTGCTGTGTCTCTTTCTGTCAAATAAATAAATAAAATCTTAAAAAAATAAAATTTATTTATCTGAGGCAGAGAGAGCATGCATGCATGCATGAGTGAAGGGGCAGAGGGGAGAGGAGAGGGAGAGAATCTCTAGCAGACTCCATGCTGAGCGAGGAGCCGCACTCAGTACTTGATCCCATGCCCCTGAAATCAAGAACTGACCTGAAACCAAGAGTCAGACGATTAACAGACTGAACCACCCAGGTACCCCTATGCCCCTCTCTTTTTACCCATTTGGTTAAAATTTCCCAACAGTGAAATCTACCCCCAAAGGGAGAATTATTCCAAAAGAGCTACAAGTCCTGAACATGGTTCTCAGAGATGCAGGCGTGTTCGGAGCCTTAGGTTGTGTGCAGAATGCCCAAGAGGCTCCTTTGCTAGGGGTGTGGTGACCTAGAAGCCAAGGCTTGTTATACCTCTTGGACGACTAATTTCTCTCACTGAACCTCACTTTCCTCACCTGGGAAATAAGGGCTGGGTTAGACACTGACCCTGGGAAGTGCCAGACACAGGCCAATGACTATTATTCAAACCTCAGGCACCTTGCGTTGCTATCTCTCCAGCTCATCCCTGCTGTCCCTATGTCCTGGCCAAGATGTGTACTTGTTTCCAGAGGTCTCCAGTGCTGGGTGGGGTTGAATCAGGAAGCCAGACAGGATTATTGCTTTCTTTTTTTTTTAAGATTTTATTTATTTATTTGACAGAAAGAGACACAGCGAGAGAGGGAACACAAGTAGGGGGAGTGGGAGAGGGAGAAGCAGGCTTCCCGCTGAGCAGGGAGCCCGATGCAGGGCTCAATCCCAGGACCCTGAGATCATGACCTGAGCCGAAAGCAGACGCTTAACAACTGAGGCACCCAAGCACCCCGGGTTATTGCTTTCTGTGGATGGGGACTTGGGCACTCAGAGATGATAAGAGGAACCATGTCCTGAGCCTAAGCTTACCATATGCCAGGCCCTGCCCTTGGGATGTTTACAGCCTTCAGGTGGGCAGATGCTAAGTGCATCATTACTGCTGATTAGCCATGTGGTTTCCGTGTGCCAAAGACTT